CAAGTCTTTTAAATATAATCAAAGTAATATTGGTTCCACTCTATTTCGGAGGCTGAAATAGAAGACAAAAGAATAGCTCTGGATTGACTGTACTTTGGCGGTGTTTGAAGTATTATTATGACTTCTTCACCGAAGTGATTTTTTCTTTTTTCTTTTTTTCTGATCCGAAAATTGGCTAAAATAACCTAAAAAAAATTATATTTTATTAACTAACTAAATCATCATAATCTAATGGCTCATATTTCTCCACATCATTATTTTCATTAAATTGCAAATATATTTTTTTTTTGTTATTGTTGCAAATCACCCTTTCAGATTTAACTATTATTATTTATGATAAACTAATTTAATTATTTGATAGTTTATAGCTACAAAAATTAGCTTTTCCGATATTTTTCAAAATGAAAAATGGAGATTGTGATGAGCTAATTTACTCAATAACCAAAAACAATTAAAAATAACCATAATTAGCATATGTGGCATAATTATATCCACTAAATTTAGGTTAATTGGTTAGGTTTTAAAATATAAATTTTGTTTAGGTCATTCAACTCAATTTCTCTTGTGATAATGATGAAACTGATGCTTATAAATTATAATGCATCGTTCGTCAAAAGAAAAAAGTTGGCTTAACGCGTCCGATCCCATCAATGATAACCCATCTAATTAGGTAGCATTTAACTACTTTAATAATAATATATTTTCGAAGATTTGTTAACGTGTCTTTTATTGTATACCAATTACAAAGTGATCACTATTCAATTTTTGGTTACTAAAAAAAAGTACAAAGTAATCGGTCCATATTATGGGTACGTATAAGATTTGGTAAACTGCCCCACAAATTTTAGTCAATTCGTTTTATGCATTTGCTCATTTTGTCGTATGGGATTTGATTCTAGTATTTTGATGATATAATAACCAACCACTTAATAATTAGTTTAGAGGAATGCTTTTCATGCATGCAGTTATTAAAAAAGTAGCAATTATTGATTTTCGTCGTCACTCGTAACAAAAGATCTTCTTTAGTGAAACAATCTATCCTGCCAAGAGCCCACCACATCCATACGTCTTTTTCCATTTGCAGTTCAATTTTTTAGAATTTTCTATATTTATTGATTTGTTATTGATTTTTTTTATAATCCACTTGCATATATATATTGCCTATGAGTTGTAATGTTGTATTATGTATATATAAGACACTCGTTGAATAGACTCCGAGTTTTTTGCATGGTTGGCTAATTCTGTGATCCACACT